AAGACATTCCTTATCACTTTCGTAAGCTCTTTCGCGTAAGGACCTCGCGTGAAATCAGTTTTTCCACGTGACGTGAAAAACTATTACCCTCGCGGTGTTCTAGCGATTATTATTATTATTATTATTATTATTATTATTATTATTATTATTATTACTATTATTATTATTATTATTATTATTATTATTATTATTATTATTTTCTCGCTTACTATCTTGTCCTCTTTCTTTCTTCCTTTTCGATCGATTTTTCTTTTTCTTTTCCTTTCTTTTCCTTTATCATTCTTTCATTTTCATTTTATACGAAAGCAACGCCAAAATAGAAAAGAAAAATTTAAATATGGAGACAGATAGGGAGAGTGTCCTTTTGTTTTTATAAGAAAGAGGAACAAAAAAAAAGGAAGAGGGGAAAAAAACAAAAGAAAAAGATATTAAACCGTCTACGTCTTTTATTTCAATTCTCGCGTATTCCATTATCATCGTAAATCATAAATACGAAGATGAAATAACACGATGCCTAGTGTTTATATCGTGATAAAATTATATTCCTTTTTGTGACGATACTACTGCCAAATTTATCGAGAGAAATAAAGACAGAGACACGAGGTGTTCGATACTTCGTCGACTTTTTCGTGAGTACCCATTGCGAATATTTCGATTCAAAATTTGTCCCGTTTTGTTTACGCGCGTTTCTTCGTGGGGGACGGGGATGGGGGTAGAGACAGGCGGCCGGGCGGACGGACGGGCAGGCGGGGGAAAGAAACAAAAAAAGACAAGGAAGAAATAAAAAAAAAAAGACAAGAGAAAAAAAAAGAGGAAGAAGCAGAAGAAGAAGAAGAAGAAGAAGAAATGCGTGCCGTCGACGATTCATTACATTATCGTTTCTTATCTCTATCAAAGGAATATCCGTACGTAGATCGTACGTTGTCCCTTTAATGATTTTACGCGAGGATCGTTTGTCAAAGCGCATCGTCGTTTGGACAAATAAAAGGAATCAAAAAAGAAAAAAAAAAAACAAAGAAGAAAAAAGAAGAAGAAAAAAAAAATAGAAGAAGAAGAAAAGAAAAAAAGAACAGAGAAAAGAAAAATACGATAAAGTTTCCCGCCCTCTTTCATCCCCTTCATGATTCTTTCCTTTTATTATCATTAATCTTTGATAATCGTGAATGGGAAAAAAAAGAAAAAACGGAAAAAAAAGAAAAAAAAACAAAAAAGAAAAGAAAAAAAAAAAAGAAAAAAAAGAACCAACGCGTTTACGAGCGAAACTATTTCCCTATTTCAGATATAAATCGTTTCCTTCGCGTTCGCGTTTAATATCGAGCGAATTCTAAACGAGATACGACGTGGAAATTGTCCACGATAACTCCCCATGCCGTAATTCCTGGGATAACGAGAGTTGACTCGCGATTCGTAAAAACGAAAGAATAAAAAAAAAAAAAAAAAAAAGAAAAAAAAAGAAAAAATTAAGGAAGAAAGAAAGAAAGAAAGAACGAAAGAAAGAGAGAAAAAAAGAAAGAAGGAAACAACAAGAACAAACGTGATAGATAATCTCGCGTGATCTTCGACGAAAGTCTAACGCAAACAAGCAACCAAGCAAGCAAGCAAGCAAGCAAGCAAGCAAGCACGCACGCATTCATGCACGCACGCACAGTCGTGAGTACGAAATTGAAGAAAATTGCACGATGGAAATATCGACTTTCTCTCTCTCTCTCTCTCTCTCTCTTTCTTTCTTTCTTTCTTTCTTTTTCTCTTTTTTTCTTTATCTCACGTGCACTCGTTAGCACCTAATTTCGATTTCCTATATGTTTCTCATCGCAAAGTCGACTACTCGTTCACCAAAAGCGACTCTCATCGATCATTTTGAAAATGACGTCCGAAATTGAGCTGAATACGTCAACTGAGAGTGAGGTATATAAAGGCTGAGAAGGATAAAGAGAAAGAGACAAAATGAGAGTGAGAAAGAGAAAAAGTAAGAGAGAGAGAGAGAGAGTGGGAGAGAGAAAGAGAGAGTGTAGGTCAACACGCGATAGAAAATCACGCTGAGGCTTGATGTCCCAAGTTAATATCTTATTCAAGGGAAATAGGCGAACCCAGACTATGTAGTTCTCTCCCTTTTTCTTTCTCTCCCTTTCTCTCTCTTTTTATCTCTATATCTCTCTTTCTCTCTCTCTCTCTCTCTCTCTCTCTCTCTCTCTTTCTCCGTCGTCCATCGTCGTCGTTCAAAGTTGTTTCTTATTTTTGTTATCGGCCCCGAAAAGGGTTCTCCCTCGTCGATCATCTTCAAAGTCACGTGTGCTTGAACTGTCGCGTGTCTTCAAACGTCATCCCTGTTATACTATGCAGTTGTTCTCAAAGAAAAAAAAAAAAAAAAAATTTTCGTTTCGGTCAAATTCTAACACGCGAGTATACTATTGGATTAATATAAGGAAATAACTTTATTCGATATTATTAAAATGATAATAATAAAAGATCGTGATTATATATGATATATATATATATATAT